TATATATATATACACATACATACATACATACAGGTGTTCTATTTGTAAGAGCAGAGGCATCAATCAACAATTAAGATCCACATTTTGAAAGGCAAATAGGCAAATGTTCTTTGTGGTCTTATAAACTACCTAGAGTATTGTCCCTAAGCCCCTCTCATATGTTAGAACATACGAAATGACTGTGGTTAAGTTCTCAAACTCCATTTTAACTCAGATCTGTTAGGGAACTGAGTAACCTGAAGTATATGCTAGAAATCATTTGAATTCCTTAAAAAAAAATTAGAAATGACTCACCATTCTGCGCATAGCCACTTTCTCCAGAAACGGCTTGAAGTAAATAGAAAACCATACCAAAAGCTGTACCTAGAATTGTCATTCTGAGAGAGAAAAGGAGGAAAGAGCAGATGTGTGAGCCTGTGTGTATAAATGAATGAGAGAAAGCGCGCGCAAGGGGGGAGAAGGAAGAAGACTTAGATCTCCAGCTTTATACTTATTTAACCACAGGCAGGGGGAAGTATAAACACAGCAAAATAAGAAGGCAAGTGCCAGAAACAGGAAGTCTGAGTAAAAGTATTGCTGCTGTAAGCAGAGATAGAGAAAATGAAGAGAGAAAGCATTTTAAATTATTGCACCTTTCTGACATTCTTTGCGCCCCCTCCCAGACTTACTGTATATATTTTGGAGTGAGATAGTAGATTCAGATTTAGGTGAAAGCTGTCTCAGGCTACAGCCCACTTTAAAAGAATCATGAGAGAAAAATCTATACTTATAAAGGGAATCAATTAATTGTTTGGGGGGGGTGTTTTTCTTTGAAGGAGGATTCTGTACTTTATGAAATAATTCATGATAATTTAATTTGTGTGTTTGTGTGTGTGTTTAGACAGGGTCTTATTGTGTTAAGATCTTCCTGCCTCAGCCTCCTGAGGCTCTGAGACCACAGTTGCATACCATGCCCAGTTTTTAGGGTGGACCAGGAATCAGAGCTGGTTCTCCCACATGGCTTCAGCCTGGCAGGTAGCAGTGTCCACTACTCAAGAGAGAGAGGGAAGGAGACTCAGTGCACACTACTCAGACTGGGTCTTCAGGTTTATTTTAAATAGTTTCCCTCCAATCTCTAAGTTTCACAAAAATAATAACTCAGTGCACACTACTCAAACTGGGTCTTCAGGTTTATTTTAAATAGTTTCCCTCCAATCTCTAAGTTTCACAAAAACAGGAACTTTTCTTTTTTTTTTTTTTCTTTTTGTATCCCTAGTACTTACACTTCACCCATCATGGGGGCATTCAAGAATTATTTACTGGAGCTAGGTGGTGGTGCAGTTGTAATATAACACTCTGTCATGCTACCCACATGAGAAGGTCCTGAGTTTGCAGCCCAAGGTCTTCCAGTACATGCTGGACACATGTGCTTGTCTGTAATTTAGGTTGGCTAAGGCCAGGGGGAGAGAGCAGCATGAAGACCCTTTCAGGGGTGCTTCTCTCTTTCTCCTCTCTCTCTCTCTCTCTCTCTCTCTCTCTCGGCAGAAATGTGTATATAAACAAACAAACATAAAAATAAGTATTTGCTTAATGCAAGTTTTGGCAAACTATGGCCTAGGGACCAAACCTGGCCACTGCTTGTTTTTGTAAATAGTTTCATTGTAACACAACTGCCTGCAATTGTGTATTGTCCACAGTTGCTTTCCTGCTTTAGGCAGTTGAGTAGATGAGACAGTAATCGCATGATGCGCCAAGAGTAAGATCTTTACCATGTAAACCCCTTGTGTAAAGGATAAAATAATTACCTTTTCAGTATATCTGAAGCAGGTTTCTATTTGTGGTTGCTGCTGCACTTTTCAGGAGTATATTTATAGTACATACACATCACACTGATACCTCTATATCCAGGGCAGAATTCCGAGTCAATGACATAGATAAATCAGATTTTCCCTAAGTTTTTGCCAGTCAAAAGGCATCCTAATATGGCTAATGGTGTTTATTAAGCCTGACTGATATCTTGATGATTACTGGATTTTTTTTTTTCTTAAGCCATTACTGGTGTTCAAAGGCACTGGTTGATAGCAGTTCTGTTATCAACACATGGACAATGTTTTTGTGTAGGCCTTCAGATGAAAGATCTTACTAAATTCAGACCTTAAAACATCATTCACTCAATTTACAGTAGAAAGAAGCCACAAGACTTAATCATAAGAAAATGAATACAGAGAAGTTGGGTGAACAGTGAGTTATGAAACTCTGACATTCACTGTCATTGGGTAGAAATGGCCTTATGGGCCTGTAGAAATGACTGGATTAACAGTGCTGAACAATATCTCCCTGTACATAATGAAAATCAGAGAGTCTTAGAAAACTGTATGACCTATCTTATTACAGTTTTTCGATGATAGCAAAGTTAGAAAAGAGGAGGTTGGGTATTTGCACTTGACTCTGAAAACTCTTCAGTTTTAGGTAGATTCAATGACTAACATAGTCTGCAGCAGTTACAACGCCACACTCTGGACAACAAGCCCAAGGGATTTTCATAGCATAAATCCAGCAGAAGGAAGACTCATTCTATTTCATCTATCTCTCGAGTCTTTATTTATTTATTTTTTGGTATTTCAAAACTCCTTCTAAATCAAATAAAGAGGAACAATTTTGTGCATCAGATAATAGTTTGTGTCTTGCTTGCTAATCTTGTCTTAAAAGCCTGGTGAAAGAATTGTAAACCCAATTCATAAAAAATAAAAAATGGTTTGTTTTGTACATTGAGCTGAATATCTTTTCCAGAGAGCTATAATTATAAATTCCCATGAACTAAGCAAATGTTCAAAGAGAAATACAAATTGCATGTATCAACCAACATAGATCTCATAAACTCTCACAGATTGCCACTCCATGGGAGAGTAATTGAGCCATGTCTCTTTAAATTCTCTTGTTTTTCATTTAAGTGGACTATCATTTTGATTGTATCTCTTTCCTTTAGTTGTGAAGATGTAGAAGAACAAAGCCAAGACACAATATTTTGGTACAGCATGTGCTAGTTTGTTCAGGGGATTTCCACTGGTGAGCTTACTCTCTTGGGGCGGGGCAGGAGATGCTAAAAGGACCTCCGAAAGCACCCTAGACAGGGTGTGGGGAGCTCAAAGAAAAATGAATAGCATCACTAGTTCTTCTAGAGACGGTGGGGGAACAATGGTACCTTCTCTTTCTCTCTCTTCATCCAGGTCTTGTGAGTCCTTTGGAAACCTAGAAAAACTGCAGGAGAACTGCCTTATTCAACTATCTCCCAGAAAAGATACCTTTATTATTTTGCTTAGTAATTACTGTTGGTGAGACAAAGCACAAACAGAAAAGAGAAGATTATAAAGACTCGTCAGGGCATTTGAGCCCCGAACTGTGAAATCAGGACCCAATCACTAGACTGTGGGTGAAGCCAATCCTTTGTTATGGTAAATTACTTGGCCCACACATCTCCTCTGCTCTCATCACTTTTCTTTCTTGGCTAGATAGATTTTCTTTTCTCTTTTCTAAATTGTCTTTCTTTAGCTGCCTGAGTGAATCATTAAAAAGGAACGCCATTGGGACCAGCAGATGGCGTAGCAGTTACATTGCTGGACTCTCACATGGTCAACCACAGTTTGAATTCCAGACCCAATGTCTCTGTCTCTCTCTCTAGCAAGCACATGCACCCTAAGGCCAAAAAAAAAAAAAAAAAAAAAAAAAACAAACACCCACACAAACAAAAAACTCTTAAAAAAAAAAGGCCATTTTTTTTTCTCACCCATAAACAGAACACATCATTCTTGTAAAAGCTCCTAATCCTAGTTAGCCAAATATCTTCTTCTTCTTTTTTTTTGTTTGTGATTATTCAGGACGTTTGTCAAACAGGCAAAATACACACACACAAAGATTTTCTTTTTGTCACATTTCAGTACATTACATTGATGTTCCTACAAAACTTGTAGAGTCCTGCAGAGTTCCAAATCCACTCTCTGACACATTCTATGAAATCTATATTAACTGCCCCTCTTACATAGAACTTACCTTCCTTGATGAAAAGATTGTATCCTTAAAGTGCAGAACAATCGTGGACACCAGCTTTCCTCTTGGTTTGGGGGTTGGGGTGTGTGGAACTACCAGGCCTGCACAGTGGAGGGACTGGGATCCCACCATAACCATGAAAAAGAACAAGAAAAGCACTGCAGGGTGTTAAGTAGGCAAGCATGGCTATAGACAAAACTACTGCTGCTCTAGTCCTCAAAGAATTGTCTTTAGCATCTTATCAGTGTATGCTGAGTCAGTCCCTAGGTTCTGAAGGGGGAGTCCCAGCATCTTGAAGTTTCATTTCCAGGAGCACAACATTTTCCTTGTGTGTGGCTCCCCTTTCATTTCCCTTTCCTCCTTACCCCAATGCCATCAGCCCCATGCTTTGCTATCTTTTCTTTTTTTTTTTTTTTTTTTTCCTGGGCAGAATGTGAAATGTCATAGTTGTTTTGCCTTTATAAAATTTTAGCCTTTGACTTTGGGTAAAACAAAAATGGAATTTTCTGAGTACCAACTTTTTACTCTTTGCTAAAGATATTTCTGTTACAAAGTAAGCATTTTATTTTCAGAACCTGCCCAAATTATGCTGAAAGTATGACCAAGCGGACTGACCCTTGGGGAAAGTATTAAGCCTTCTGAACAAAGCTTCTATGGGCAGCTAGAGCAGGTGTGGGTGTCCCTGACTGAGCTCAGGTTCCTCTCTGACACTTTTTTTTTTTTTTTTGGCGAGGTTTTCGCTTTAAGGTGTGTGCATTTGCCAGAAAGACGGAGAGAGACAGAGAGACAGAAAGCGAGAAATCACACCCTCCCCCCCCCCCCCCGGGG